GTTGTTGTTGTTGTTTGCTGGCGCATCGCGGCTTTGCTTTTAGAACTAGAAAAATGTTTTCCAAAGGTGTGCCTAAACGAAAAATTTTGAGTCGAACCAAAAATATTACTACGAAAATTGTTGCGAAACTGTAGTTGCGCCTAAAAGTAGGCTTTAATGTAAATGCGCTTTTGAAGCTTAATAGCTGCGTACATCGGGCGTACTACAGTTTAACAATTTTTTGTTGCTAAAAATTTTTGCATTTCTTTTTTATATTTTTTCAATATATTTTGCGTTGCATGCTTGTTCAAACATATTACAAAAAGTTGTGCAGAACGTTTTTGAATGGTTTATTTCAACATTAATTGTTTTTTTGTATCTTTGCATTTTATTTCTTGCTTTTGGGTTGCTGTGTTGTTTGTCAGTATGTCTTCTTCAGATTCTTAGATTTTCTTTTTTGTTATACATATGTATGTATATGTATATAAGTTATGCGTATACTATATAAAAAATTTAACTACTTCTTTTAAAGTTTCTTTATTATTATTTTACTTATAGGCACCCAATTTACCAATCCTTTATATGAAAAATTAAAATGGTTTTATCCAAAACTTAAAACTTCATTCAACTGAGGGGGTTTGTGTTTCATTTGCGTTCAAAAATTTATTTAAAATTTTGCATTCCGAAAAATACATAAAAAAATATAAATAAAATAAAGCTTTTAAGAGTTTTGAAATTTTGCAAGCCAAAAGCAGTTTTTGAGATTTTGTAAGAAAAAATAATAATGTGGAAAAATAGTAGTTAAGGTGACTTCAAATAGTGGCACTATACTGGAGTGAAAGGTATTGGATTTTTTAAAATTTTTAAAAGGACTACTGCTCCACATCAGCAAGTTTAACGAGTCGTGTCTATGAATTCGCCCTCGTAGCTGGATTGGTCCAAGGACTGCCATTTCAGAAACATTCCCCAAAACTAGTTAGGTATTTTTCATGCTGTTACAACAACAGCAAGTCCGGTATATGCCATCGGAATGTCGCAGCTTAATTGCTGTCGAAGGTAGGGCGCCAACGACAGACCAGGCGCTTCGGTTACTTTACTATTAAATAGAACTACATCAGACTACTCTCTGGGTATCTAACTGGTCATAACATTTGTCTCAGTGAGCACGCCGACTATGCTTTGAAGACTATGAGACTTCAGAACACTTTTTTTGAAGTTGTAGGGCCTTGGCCAAGCAAAAAATAATTCCTCTTAAAGCTCTAATCGTCGAATACTTTTTAAAAAGAATTCGCCTAGTAAGGAACTCTGAGAATTCATTAGGGAAGCCGAAGGTATCTGTGGCACTACGGGGTCCTTAACCCGTAATTAAAAATACAGAAGATATTACAGGTCGCAGTGCCTCTTTTTCTGTTAAGTACTCAACCAACTAACCATTGTCAAATTAGCCTTCTAAACTTAAGAGAGATAATTAAAATGTTTACCTCAATCAATTTGAGTAGCGGCCGTCATCGGCTTTGAACAATCAAATAAAGCTCTCTTAAAAATTTTTGTGAAGTGTTTTTCGTTCGCTCACTACCAGAAGTCACCATACTCGTTATTCACCACATCACTCTCATCTTTATTCTGTGTAAAAAAAAAGTTTGACTATTTTTTGTAACTTCAGTTATGTATTTCTTCTAATAAGGTTTATGTTCAACATTGTATTTGTATCATTTTTAATTATTCTTTGTTTCATAAAATATTGCAGGTACATGCGGTTGCTATGGATCACAAAGTGCTGTGGCGGGCTGGTAAGAGGCGGGAGTAAGCGCAGTGACCACTTCCAGTGCTCTTACACCAACGGTACCACAACGCTGTGACATTTATATGTATATTTGTGTTTTATGTATGAATGTATGTGCATATGTATCGAAGCATATTATATTTGCATAATAGCTTCTTCATATATGTATGTATGTATGTATGTTTTAATGCTATTGTAGTGTATGTAGTTGTAGATGCAATTCACATAAAACTTATTTGCTTTTTGTTTGCTTTGCATTGAGATACATATCTTCAATATTGCGGCTTGTTTAATGACACTTGTGGCGTGGGAAGTATGTAGGTATGTATGCAATTACTTTTTAACAAATTTACTTTTTACGTTCAATCATCAATAAGTTTAAGCATAAAATATACATATCATTTTTTTTTCTCAAAATAAAACTGTTGGTTATTACATACATAGTTTATTTATAAACAAGAATTATACAAACATGCAATCATAATTTATAAGTATGCATGTATTAGCATTTCGAAAGCACTTTTTTTAATTGTAATTGTGTAACTAAAGGCGTTTAAAGAAAGCAAAACCGCGCTTACATCGTTATTATAATTTTATGTAAATCTTTATAATGAAATACTACGTTTTTAACTTTTTGCAATGGCATCACTTTTGGAAATTTACACACGCTAAAAAAATTCATTTATTTTTACTTGTGAAAAAATTTTGCTTTTTCACTTTTTCTCCTATACCACTTCCTTGGTAGTGAGAGACAGTAGAACTTGTACTTTTTGGCTTTGCAATTTTATGTAGGACTCTGTTTTTCCCTATTTGAAGTTACCTATTGTTGCTTGTTTGTTTGCTTTTTACTTCCTTGTTTTTGTTTTTTGCTATTGCGGCTATTTAGTTTCTTGTTTCAATCTTATGTATGTCTTGTAAAAAATGTTTATATAAATGTAGTGTTTTTTTTTAATTTTTCTTTAAATTAGGTACTGTTTGTTGCTTTTATGTCTTGCTGGACTATTGCCATGTTGGTATTGACTGTTTAAAACAAAAAATAGATATGCTTAAGAAATCACTTAATATTTACAACTAAAACAAGCCCTTGTGATTGTGTTAAAGCAAAATTGGCTATACTTTCGCTGCGGACGTTAAGAATTAAGACCAAAATTAAGTTAAAAAAAAAATTGTATAAATCTGGTTCACTATTTTCTGTGCTTCATTACATCAATACCAATCAAAAACGTTCGAACTTTCTTATGCCGAATTTCCACTGGGCATTGAAATGACAAAAATGTAGGAAAATTTCTACCACTAAACAAATGCAATACAACTGTTTTTTTTAATGATTAACTTTGTCATTGAAATTGTTTGTCATTTAAAGCCTAGTGGAAATCGGGAATTATTCGCTGTTTGCTCTAGAGTCTTTTTTGCTGAGTTGCTGTAGGTTTACATTTAATAATTGTAATAATTGAAAAAATATTTAGATATAGATTTTGATACTTCTTCGTTAACCTTTTGATGGACCTAAGTTTTTGGTGGAAATAAAGTATATATTTTTATTATTTTTTTTGCTTGCAAGCTATGTGGTTTGTAAGTGCAATATGTCGTTCAGGAAAAGCGATTTGAAATAGGTTTAAAGCTATAGAATATAAATTGGCAAGAAATATGAAGTGGGTACTCGCACCTGCCTGAAACCGCGATAAAACTATTAAAGTAGTCTATCAGAATTGTGAACTTTGATAGAGCACCTTTCATGCTCGGCAGATAGGTTTATAGGAAAAATTTGCAAATTCGGGCTAGGGAGTAACCGCAAATGAACGCCGAAAGACATTGGGCCATAAGCACAAAAACCAAGCAAATGGTTTTTGTAAAAATGTCAGACCATTTAATCGATTTGTTCAAAACAATTTAAGTGAAAGATATGAGATTTTAAGAAAAACCAATTGCTTAGTTTTTATGCATACGGCCCATTGTATCCGCAAAACATGAGTGTAATTATTTTAACTTTACTTTCCCAACAAGAAAATGGATAGCCCTGTATTAATAACTCATTTTTTTTTTAAGTATTTCAAACTAAAACTGGCCTTTGCGCGGAAGAACATGCAATTTTGTCACAAAAATAATATAATTTAAAATCATGCATAACAAATTTTGAATTATAAAAAAAAACAGATAGCTTTTTTATTAAAATTATGCTAAAACGAGTAATTTTCAAATAATTTCCAAAGTTTGAAAAAATAGAATTCAAAAAATAGTTTTTTTTTTAATAAAAATGTATAAATATCTGACAAAAAATATTTCTTTTTTTGAACAAAATTAATAATTTTTGAGTCTCGATTTTTTTCTTATTGAACAAAAAATAAAAGTTATTTTCAGCATAAAAGTGTTAAATTTTTTTTTATATTATTTTCAGCAAAAATTATTGAAAAAAAGTTTGCTCTTACAACGTTTTATTTTTTTTGTTAAGAAAAAAATTTGCCCCACATAGCGTGCTTGCAAAAAAATAAAATTCCAAACTATTTTCATTTTCTTTCCTACTGAACTCGTTTTAATTGCAATTTTATGTAGCACCCTGAAAACAATTTCTCAATTACATTTAACAGCTCAATCATTTTTTTGTTTTCAATTTCAAAGTATGTATGTATGTGTGCATTCATCACAACTTGCTATTTGATATCTATTTTCTTGCTTAATATTTTCTTAAACAGTTCGCTTCTATCTACATAACTGAAATAATAGATAAAAGCGCATTGTTGTTGATATTTATTGCAAGTCAAGCGATTTTAACACAAACACAAAAATTCGATTGTACATACATATTTCATAGTGCATAGATTGAAAGTAACATTTTCTATGGTTGGTATACATGCAGTAAGAACAAATAAACAAAAATTATGTATTTAAAATTTACATATTTCAACTCAAAAACATTGAAAAATTAAAATCTTGCTTTCTTCTACTTCAATGTGCTTGCGGCGTTTGAATAAAAAAAAAAAATGACTGCGATTTTCAACTGTTTTTGCAATCCATGCTTCATTTCTTTTCTCTCTTTCTTTCTTTTGCTTTCACGCTATTTGCGTGTGCATGCTTTGCTTTCTGCTATTTCGTTTTGTTTTAAAATGTAAATTTAAATTTATATTAACTCACAGCAGTTTGTTGTGTTGTTGTTGTTTGTATTGTGCAACACACAAACTTAATTCAATTTCATCATAATTAATTCGTAAAATAATTAATTATTAATTCATTATAATTATTGTTGCATATTTACTTATTTAGCATTATTTTTGTTTTTTGTTTTGTTTTTGTTTTTATTTAAGTAATATACTTCCTCCGAGTGCAACAGCGGTTGCAACAGTAGTCTCTGTTCCTATTCTTCTTTTAGGATGTGCTCCTTTTGAGTGCGCGTAAACGAAAATCTTCTCTTCATCTTCTTCATTCTTCTTATCTCCTAAAGCTTCTTCCTCTCTGCATCGATTTATGTATCCCTTCATTTTCACCAACTACAACATTTATTCAGCAGCTTTTGTTGTCGTTGGTGGCGTTTCATTGGCATTGGCATTTTCAATTGTTGTTGTTTCTATAGTTTCTGTTGTGGTCACCTGCGTTTCAGCCCCAACTATGTCCGCAGCAGCTTCGGACTTAGTGGCTGTGGCCGCGACTTTGTCGATGTCTTCTTCGTCGGTTTCCATTTGTACCGGTGGGTTTTGTGTAGTGGCCTCATTAGAGGCTGTTGTTGTTTTTATTATTTGTTGTTGTGCAGCAAGCGGGTTTAATATTGTTATTGTGGTTTCAGGTGTAATAACAGCGGTATTTTCTTCAGCTTCAGCGCTTGATGTTGGTGCTTCTGCTACAACTGACCGCTTTGTGCCTTCTACCACCTGTGTCGTTGTTGTTGGGAGTACAACCGCATCTGTTTCCATTTCACTGGATGTATCCAAACGTTCCACAGTGGTGTCAGCCAATTCACCACCAACAAATGATGAATCAATGGTGCTGGTTGTGTTGTTGTGGCGGTCGTTGTTAGTGGTGCTGGTGGTGGAGGTGTCAGTGGCGGTGGTTGTGGTGGTGGCGCTACTACCAGTGGTATCCATCAGCGAGATATCAGCCTCGTGTGCGCGTTCCTCCACCCCAGCCATTGGTGGCTCTTGCTTTTCACGTTTAGCCTCCGGCTCCACACCCTCCTCCTCCTCCTCCTCCTGTTCTCCCACCTTTTGCTCCACCATTGCGCTGCTAGCGCTGGCGTTGCGCGTGCTCGTCGTACTATTACGCCGCCGCTCTTGCCGCGCCTGCCGCTGCTGTGTTTGCTGATGTTTTCTATGCTCCAACTCGACTTGCTGCTGTACGTGTTGGTGCTGCTGCTGTTGTTTGCGTTCTTCTGCCGCACGCGTCGATGTGCTAGCTATTACGCCGATGGCGGCTATATTGGCGTTCCCGTTGTTGCTGCTGCTGCTTGCTATATCGCCAGTAAAGCCACCGCTGCTGATGTTCGTGTTGCTGCTGCTACTGCCGCCGATGACGGCTCTGCTTACGCTTGCGCTAGCGCTGCCACCACTGCTAGCTGCTGCGTCGCGTCGTTGCATACATTTCTCCAATGCCATTTTCAATGATTTTCGTTTACGTTGTTTTGCTGCTGCTTTTTGCGCACTCATGACTACTGCTGCCGCCGCTGTTGCGGCCGCATCCTATTGTGAATGATTCGCGGCCGCCGCCGCAGCCGCAGCGGCGATGGAGGCGGGTACAATACCAGTACTGGCTGCACTTAAGCCGATCTCCTGTTTGTGTTCGCGTGCGATGTGTCGACGCACGGTGTTATTGCGGGTGAAGGTACGCGAACAGAAGGGACAATGGACGCGGATGCCTTGATGTCGTTGGCGGATGTGGGCACGCAGGTTTGTCTCATAGCCATAGAGGCGATCACAGAACAGGCACTTCAGCTTTTTGCCTAAACGGTGAAGGGTTGGTATTTGGATAATTTTAGTAAAGCAAACACAAAAAAGGTGCAAAGAAATGCTGTATTAAAGGAAATTAATAAGATATAAAAGTGAGAATAGGAAACAATCTACATTTAGGCGCGCAACCGCCTAAAACTATGTTTATTGTATCAGAGCGTGTAAAAATTTGAAATGTATTTAGTTTCAGCTATTAGAAAACTTCAAAATTTCATTACCGTCCGCCGTATTGACCATGCCGCTGTTTTTGTTGTTCATTTTCGTCGAATTCCATACATTCAACATATCCTCCGGCGCTATGGATGCAGCCAAATTGCTTGGCAATCCAGCTTCGACGTTCTTAAGGTTCTCCAGCAAGGCGGATGGTGTTGTGGAAGATGCATTCGAGGTAGGTGGCTGTGGCGGTGGCGGCGAATAGTTGGAATTTTCCAACTTCACTCGCAGATCTTCGGCTCCATTCTGTAAATAGGGAAGACATTTTGATCCTCTTCTTCTCTAAACATTATTATTGACTCACACTCACATCAATCGATTCGTCGTGCTCGCTCCTGTCATCACCAATAGCCTCGTGTGTGCTGCCATTGTTTCGTTCCGTTTTCACTGAGCGGTCTAGGCTGCTTGGCGCATTGCCATTGCCTGCGGTGGCGCCAGGACTGTGATTTTCATAACGGCTGTAAAGAGAAAATTAAACCAAACCTTAAACATTCAGCTTATAATCTCCAAAACCTAACTTCCAACTCTATATACTCTCAACTCTCTCTTATACTCTCTCTCATCACACTCACCTCGGTGACGTACGCTCCGATTGCATTGTGTCCGCCTCGGTGGGTGCATTCGATGATGCGCTCGACGACGGTCGATGGTAGGGCGGTTTACTGATCGGACTCGCGCAATCGGACGATGAATTTTTCGAACCATCACGTAACACACTGCCGCGCACCTCTTGCTCGGCATATGGACTGCGGAGTACGCGCTTGCGCAGTGGTTCGAACGACATGGGACGATAGATGGGCGGCACATAGGGCGGTATACCTGCGGCCAGCGCTGCTGCGGTACTACTTTGCATTAGAGAATCGCATTCGTGCTTCAAATTACTACTTGAGCTGCTGAGGTGATGTGTAACACTCGCGGCACCGCCGCTGCCTAAACCACCTGCTCCACTAACACCACCACCACCGCCACCACCGCCGCCGAGCGCACTTGCAGTGCTGGCTGGGGGATTGCAGTGTGCGCTACCAGGACCACTGATGAGACTACCACCAGTGAGGTTGCAGGCACCAGTACCGCTGCCTACACTACCATTGCCGCTGTTGCTATTGCGTTCTGCATTTCCGGCCATTATGCCAGCCATATTGCCACCGATAATGGCGCCACTGGGCACACCACCGATACTGGTGAGCGGAGTACTGCCGACAACATTGCCAATGCCAGCACCACCGCTTAGGCTATTGCGCATGCTGCGTCGCCCGGTGGGTGATTCTAGTGGCGATGTATCGACATGTTGTGCCTGTTGCGCGGCCAAGCGGCCAGTTTCTGTGGACAGTCCTTTCACCTGAAATGGCAAAGATTTTACTGCCACTGTGCTTACCGTTGTATTTCGAGTTGTACTCACCTGTAGATTTTCCGCAGATTTAAGGAAACTGTTTAGAGCCTCTTGTGACACATGCACTTCACCTTTGTACATAAATTCGAGCAGTGCAGCCATATTGTCGGACGAAGTGGCCTCCAATATGACAACGCATTGTCCATTTGTTGGTGTGCTCTCGAACAGCTCGGCGAATTTTTTCGAGCATGCTGCCAATATGAGCTTGTGTGCTTTGAATACTGTGCCTAAAATTAGAAAGAAAAGTGAAATGAGTTAAGCAAAGTTTTATTTGTTTTAAAAAATTCGTTAAAACTAGAAGTTTGTAAAATTTTAATACTATACTAAAAAAACTTAAGTATCTGTTGAGAATTGCAGACAAACGCTGAAGTCGTAGGAAATACATGAAACCGATCCATACATACGTTTGTTTATTTTCTAGCACTGAGGACTTTAATGTATCGGATTTTCATGGAAGTGAAGTAAAGATTGCGAAAGTTTTAAAAAATATGTCAGCGCCTTTGGGATCATAATTACACGTCCGTCATCTGAAGGTCTATACAAAGATGGAAGTCTGATACGTAAGGTTGGATTGGGGTGTTCAGTCAGGAACTTTTTCTAAATCTCATTTCTGAAGCGCTAAAGGAGCCAAGCATATTTCTGCACAGCTAATAGGACGATCAAAAGTGGTCGGAGAATGCCTAAACTACGAGTATCTCTCAGGCTGATTTGTCTCAAAAGACAACCTGTGGACTAATATTAGTAAATGTTTTTATGTGTCCTTTCTAAGTCTCGTGGTCGGCATGATAGGGCCACTTAGGACCACACTAACGGCAACACCTTACACCTTGTTAAATCTCATGCCGGTAGACCTATCGGCGAAGTATATAGCGTGAAAAACTGCCGCCAGACTTTATACCACGGCTCAGTTTGTGTGCAGTTGTGTGGTCCCGGATCTGCTTTTTGGGACGAACTTCGAAGCCACTATACAGGTCGAAGGCTGGCGTGAGGTATGACGGATCGAAGATAGAGAAGGACGTAGTGATGGCAGTCGCATGCGCGGAGTTCGGTATCAACAAATTCTATAAGCTGTCAAACTACTGCAGCATTTTCCAGACGGAGGTATTGGCTATAAGCAGGGTAGCCGAGCTACTCATAGGCAATTTAGCAAATAAGGAGGGGCAGTTCTATATAGACAGTCAGGCTGCGATAAAGGCGCAACTATCGCACAGCACGCCCTCTAGAAGTCTGACTGAATGTGCAGGGCAGCTCTGGATTTGCTACATACAAATAGTGACATCATCTGTACTGGGTTCCGGGTCACACCGCGGGAAACGAGTAGGCAAATAGGCTTGACTAAGAGGGCGTTTCGTTGGAAACCATGCTGATAGAGAAAGTGTCGATTTCCTTCCAAGACATTAAACCAGAACTCGACCTGTCTATACTTCGGCAGAAGCAGAAGGCGTGGACCAAAACGCAGGGATGCAAGGATTCCAGAATAAAGTGCAAAACGTATGACTTGAAGCTCACAAAGTTTCTCCTTTCCGCCAAAAGGGAGGATCCTAAGCTACTGGTCGGTGTTCTAATGGGACATTTCATGCTGTCATCGCACGCCTATAAACTGGCTCTGACCAATGATAAAATCTGTTGAAGATGTAGAACGAAAGAGGAGATAGTGAAGCATTTCCTCTGCGACTGTCCTGCCTTTAGTATACTGCATATAACAAGGTGTTCCGGTACGCAGTGATTAGCTGTCTAATGCCATGTGCGATTAATTCGCCTTGGATATGGATTTCAAATTCAAACTTCAGCAATCAAAAAGTGAATTTAAAATTTTTTATAATTTACGACTTTTTGCATTTCAGTGACGATGTTGTTACGTTATATTGCATTTCAGGTGACGAGATACAACTTCAGTGGGATTCTAAAAATGACTACCTAAAATTTCTAGCGCTGAAAATCTCTGCATGTAAATATAACGCGTGTGCCTAAAAATATGCAACACGAAAGCCGAAAAGGTTCTATGAAAAAATTTTCGAAACAAAAGCAAACTCTGGCATGATATCATTTCAGGGCAGCTTAAGTTTTATAAAATAAATTATTCTACATAAGTTATGCACATACATACACGATTTAAACCGCAAAATGCCCATAAGCCTCTGAAAGTCGCATAAAAAAAAAAAACATGCAAAGGAAAAAACGTGTAAAAAAGGATCAGATGTCTAAGATGTCGAAAACTTGTTGATATTTCATTACAACTGAATGCGTAACATACAAACATAGATACCAATCCTGCAAGTTAAATAACATGTCACACGCACACCATTCTGATGGTTATGGCACAAAAGAGGATATTATATTATTTATTTAATTTCCATTATGTGGGTATGTGCAAGAACATATGTACATATGTACATACATATGAATGAACGCAATTGTATAATACCTTACAAAATTACGCGTAAAACATGCTTGTGACTTGTCAGCATCCCGACGAAACCGCGGTTTACATACATACATACATACATACTATTTAGTTCATACATAACGTTTGAAAAGCGAAAGCCAATGAAAAGGCGGACATAGCAAACTAAGCTTGAAGGTAGGTGGCAAAGACCTTGAACCCATAAAATCAGTTCTACATATATCTCTAATATAATACATATTTATATTCATAGAAGAATAAGATAGTGTAATAAGAATAGGATAATATATGTTAATATATACATACACATGCATATTTTTATCTAGGTAGTAAATGCATATATATATATGTAGGTATGTGCAGATCTGTAAAGAAAAATACCAAGAAACCAAGCAAATGCTTTTCTTAGTCTTGAAAAAATCCAAACGAGAAATAAAATGAAGCTTAGGTTTCTCAGAAGCTGTAACGGAAGCGAGAGTAGTAGGTGACTGTGAGTGCGAGTTCCTATTGATAATAATGATGATAAAAATAAGTTGAACGCATTCGTATGCAGTGAGGAAAGTCTACGAAGAAAGAAGCAACAGTAGCAGACAAAAAAGTAATAAAAATAAATAGAACAAAAAAAAAAACGGGAAACAACAGCTGCCGTCAAGGCAACACCGTTAGCATACTACAGACTACCGCCAAGATGTATAGACAAACTGTAGGGAAAATGGCCAAAATTGTAAGTAAAAGTTAGATACACAACCATGTACAGACATACAGACATACATACATACATACATACATACATATATACTTATCCCGAAAATGAAGTTTGTTTTGTAAGAAAATGCCGAGAAAAAGCGAAAAGTTCGACGAATACAAACCGGTGTATCGGTAAGATAAAACGAAGGAGCATAAAGGATTAATTAGTGGTGGCATACCATAACGCCATAGCCAGAACCATTGCCATAACCGTAACCACATTAATTATCATCGATTATAGGTATCATAACCATAAACAGCTGATTTTTCGTAGTCAACAATGTCGGTGTTGCCAGACGCGGAACAAGACGCGAAAAAATGTGTAATATCGTAGGATACTTGCGCAGAACTTCTTTCACTATCACTAAATTCTAAAAACTCAACAGCAGATGATAATAAAATATGTACATCAATCTAAGGGCAATTACTTGTACTTTCTTAATAATATAAATTTCTTTGCCATTAATTATGAAATTTTGCTTAAAAAAAAATTATTGAATGAAAAAATACGAAATTTTATTTTAGTTTTTTAGTATTTTTGGATTAAAAATATAATGAGGCATATAAATTATGCACATCAACACAAAGACAAATTAATTGTCTTTTTTTTGACAACATTTGTTTTTGAAGCGGTTATATAGTTCATAAGATGTTAATATTTAAAAAAATTTTAATTTATTTTTAATTTTTTATATTTTCGCGCCAAATAATTTTGGTACAGTTGAAATCAGCGTGAGAAGTTCTATTGAGCCACTTTTTTGGTTTTTGCATAGCTAAATGGTTCATATTCTACGCTTATGCCAAAACGTTGGCTGTGAACAATATATATTTTTTTTGAACATCTGGCAATATGCACTTCAGAAATCAGCTGATATGGTTATGACGGAAAACCAAAATTCAATTGCTCTCTATGGTTATGGATGTGGCGTTATGATGTGGCACCACTAATCGAATACAGTGGTGGCCAAAAGGCTGGTTGGAACAGCTGTTTTATATGGTTATGGTTATGTCACCACTAATTTAAGCTTAAGTCAGGCACACATAATTTGTATATGCGTATGTATATGCACATTGATATACATACATATATACTTACATTAGACCGTACCAGAAAAACAAGTAATTTAAAAAAAAAGACAAGCTTACTTATTAGTGGTAAGTAATAAAATAAAAATCGACCCCCGTACCACCTAACGGCAAATTTTTTTTTTGATATTTCTTTCCATTTAAGTAATAAGTAGATTTGAAATACGAACTTAATCAAACAAGAAATAGGGGTTTTCTAAATAACTGGTCTACTGCGCCACCTATCGACCAAATTTTTTGTGAAGTTATTTTTTTCATGTAAGTAATATGTATTCCAAATATGAACCTTATCGGACCATAAATACGGGGTTTTCAAATACCTCGACAGCTGCGCCACATAGCGGATTAATTAAAAGTTAATTTCGAAAAAAATGCAATTTTAAATTTTTTAACATAATATTTACTAACTAATAGGGCTGAAACTAACTTTAGGGCTCAAATAAAAAAAAAATATAGTAATAGAAAATGGTTAAATAAACAATTGGCTATTATTATTAGCAGTCTCCTGAAGAGAACAAAGGTTTACGATAAAAATATCGATTTTCAAGAATTCTATACATTTCTACGAAAACTTGTTCTATTCCCATACCAAATACATGGACAAGCGCTTTGAGCGACCACTAAATATTTTTTGATTTCAAAATAAAAAATATAGCTATGATTTTTTTCGGTATAGGACATTCCCAGTGAGATAGCATTAAAATTCTGACTTAATTTTTTTTTTTACCACCCTAATGTACATACATAATATGTACATATGTATGTGTGCCTGTATGTATATGGAATACATTCAACATTTGAGGGGGCCAACGGCAGGTGCCAGGTTCCTTGCATAGCCAAAAATTTCCTCTTCCTTGCAACTGTTATCGCTTCTTTGGTCTCTAAATTTCCGCAGTGTCAGTGCATATACGAATCACTTGCCGTTTACAAGCAAATATGTATATAATTTATATCTATTTACACCCACCACTCCCTTTTTGCAGCATGAGG